GTTGGTTTTTCGAGATGGGGTTTCCCTGTGTAGCTTTGGAGCCTATCCTGCACTCACTCTGGAGACCAGGCTGGCCTTGAACTCACAGAGATCTGCCTGCCTCTGTCTCCCCAGTGCTGGGATTAAAAGCATGTGCCACCAACGCCCTGCTGCACTCCTTTTCAACATTGTGCTTGAAGCAGTATCTGGAGCAACAAGGCAAGAAAAGGAAATTAAGGGAGTACAAATAGGAAAAAAATTAAGTCAAGATACCTCTATTAACAGATAACGTGATATAATGCATAAGACAATGGGAAGAATATCCATACCATCATGCAGGCAGATACTTAGAGAGCTCAAAGGGCCCTGTGTTGTGTGGTTATGTCACGTGTTACATGGCTGTATAAGGATTCTGTACAAGCTTTCCCTTTTAAGCGAACACTTCCCACCTATTCGCCCCTTTTCTCCTTTCTTCCCTTCTTCCTCCTTCTCTTTCCCCTTCCCCCTTCCATTTCTGTTCCCTGTTGGCCAATACCTGCCTCTTCCTTTGTTCCCTTTCCCCAATAAACTCCACGTGGGTTATGTTGAGTTTTGTGGTTCATGTTTCATCACCCACATCTGTATCAAAACAACACCAGGTGCCGCAAACTGGCTTGTTGGAGCCCATTCCCTATAGAGGGATACCTTGCTCAGCCATGATACAGGGGGGAGGATACATGGTAAGAGTTCAAGAAAGCAAAAGGGGGGAAATGATATAATTATATTTTCATTTCAAAAAGTAAAGAATGGATCATGAGTCACTCCTGAAATTAATCAGGCATTTCTCTTTGACTTCTGTATTTTTCTATTTCTTACATGAAAAATTTCACTTGGGAATGGATAGTATTAATCATATTAATCATTATCTCATAATTTTGATTCCTACAAGAGATAAGAAATATTCAAATATGTTTTCTATCCTGAGTATTATTTAAAATGTTGGCTGTGAAAACAGGATTCAATGAGTAAAAATTAGTAATTTATCATGTCCTTGGTAATGGGTCTGTGGAAAAAATAAAATATCCTGAAAGCTAACGTTCAGGTTGATTATCAACAATTGAACATTCTACTATGACCCCTAAGCCTTGGAGCTGGGACTCACATGGTCACCTGTTTCCTGCATTTTGATCAGTTGTGGTTCTCTCTGTAATGAACTATGTCTGTTGAAGAATCAACTTTAAATCTTATTTTTCATGAACTTAGATCACTCACTCAGACCTCTTATGACTTAGTTAAAAGAACTGGCATGTAGATTTGACATGAAACAGTGATTTGTATATCCCTGACCACATTCTTTTGCCCCTTTAATTCTCATTGGTTTAATTTTTAGAGTAGAGCATTCCTGATATCTAGTATTGCCCCTCCCACAATCCTCTATCCTTTTAGTATAAAATGCAAAGTCTTATATAATGATTGTTTAAAAGGCTTATAAAAATGAAATATTTATACATTAAGTACTGCCATGGGATAAAAGAGAAAAATTGTTCAACATATTTCTCTTGCATTTGATGAGGAGGAACTATGACTCCAAAAGAAAGAACCATGACAAAGAGAGCCTCCAAAAACCAAAGATTGGCTAAGCATGATGGCTCCATTGACCTGACCCAGGTAAGCTCACAGTCAATTAAATTCCAGTCTTCCTGAAGCAAGCAGGGTGCTCACACATCACTTATGCAGGTCATTTGAAGATTTGGGTGTTGTCCTGCACACTGGCAGAGATGTGGACCAGATGGCATCTTAGCCTCCTCATCATCCTTGAAGTTGGAAGTTGAGTTTAATAGACTTGTCATTGAATCCAGAAATCAATTCCTGACCTCTCCCTGTTACTAAGACTTTTGGAGCAACCTGACCAGGAGAACAGATGTCACAGTTGATGAAACAGTGGCAGATCTTCAGGTGATGTCATCAAAATGCCTCACTCTGGCAGTCTCAGACTGTGGGTTCATATTGGGTGACTTGAGACATTAGGAGTAGCTATTAATATGATGAAATATCATTGATAATGTTAGAGGATTTAAAAGTCTTAAAATAGCCAATGTATGTATCATCCCATATTGAATTAATGAAGATAAGTACACAGCACAGAAAAGGTTGTCAAATGATTTATTGTAGTCTTATGTAAATAAAATGGCACATGAAAAGTAAACTTCAGAGGGACTGTAATGAACAGACATGGCAGGGAAAAGTGCTCAGCTTGTGTTACTTGGGGAAGTAACAAGCATTTAGTACCAAGTATAGAATATAATATATTTCAGCTAAGAGCATTCCTTCGGGAAGGTGGAAACTGTTTAACATGCAAGCTGAGGAAAAGGCTATATCTGATAGTACTTTGGGTTTTTCTCTTAAACTGTAGGGAGCCCCAAACAAGACCCAAACAATTAATGTAAATAATATAGGGGAAGGCGAAAGTTCTTTATTTCATTAGATATTAAAAAAAAAAAGAATCCTAGTGCCAACATTTTGACAACGAAAGCTAGCACTTGTAAATGGTGGAGACTGAGAAAAATTGAGACAGCCACTTATATGTAAATAAGTAGGTAACTAGTTAGTTAGATTATAGGTAGATAGGTACATAAATGGCAGATACATGCATATTAGGTAGATGTTTGGGTGACAGATAAGTGATAGGTGGATAAAAGGTAATAGATTATACATAGATAGATGATAGATATATGCATAATAGATAAGTAGACAGATTATAGGTAACAGATAATGGATAAATAGGCAGATGGAGTCATGATAAATTGCAGTCAAATATCTCTCTAAATCCATAGATAGGTAGATATTATCTCTCTCACATTTCCATGGTGCTCATCACGCCCACATGACTTGGACATTACCCCCAAAGTTTTACCTTCCCCCTCACCTGACTCATTCAGACTTTGCTTTGCCAACTCTGCATTTGATCCATTTCTAGAAGACATCAGAGTGTGACTGTCTCTTCATCCGTCTTGTTCTAGATTAAACATCAACTATTTCCACTGAAATCCCCAAAATAGGACATTCAACAGCCCTTCCATATGCAAACTAAAGAACAGTAGACACTTGTTAAAAACAGGTGAATGAAGGGAACACATGGGCCTAAAAAGCACAGCTCAAACACATCCTGTAAATTAGTAAGGATTCTTACCCTGGAAATACCATGCCTCTGACAGGGAGGGATGTGTCTCTTCTTATCCATTTTGCCTCACATAGAAGAATATGCATGCAGTAGTTCACAGAATTTTCTCTTTTCCACCTATTTAGACCCATGTAGACATCATTCCCCTCATCCCATATGATCCCCAGAAATATCAACCAATCAACCAGTAAACAATGAAACTGATTTTCTCTAGAAGAAATCAGAATTTTAAATTATTGTTACAATACATTAACCTTATAAAACAAGGGGTTCCCATAAGAAATTTTCATGTATGCATGCCACATATTTTGACCATATCAACCCACATTCAGTTGCTTTCTTAAGAGCTGACTCCTTCCCTTTATTCAGCAAGTTAAACATGTTTGTTAAGAGTTTTCTACCATCTCATGTCTTTAGAAGGTTGATTTGTTCTCTCCTCTCTTTTCAAAATATAGTACTGACTTTCACTATACACACAAGTAATTCTCTGAAAGTTACACTTAAAGGGGAAATTTTACAGGTCAGATAGGTTTCAAAACCTCACGTGGTGCCTTTACTGCCTCAAATTCATCAGCCAGGATTTTGCCTGTGTACATGTCTAACTGTGTGATGCAGCCACACAGATTGGGAGAAGGTAGATAGCTACCTAAGTCACCAGCTTGAACACTGTAGCTTTGAAAATACTGTCCAGATTGAACTTGATTAAAAGGCTATCTCGACTGAAGGTTCCACTAGGAATAGGGAGTAAGTGAGATAGACTGAGAAGCGAACAGTTCCAAAGTCACGTGCCCGTCGGATATGTGAAGTTAAGGATGCCAGGAATCCACTTCCTCCTCACTTATGCCAAAACCGTGGTCCATGCTTGAGTCCCATGGAGGAAGGCTGGTGAGGAATGTCTGGTCATCACCAGTCACAGGATCACATGGGTGTCAGGAGGCCAGGTCATCCATGCCCAGCCACTGTCTCACAGGCTGGGACAGAGCCCAGGATCAGTATAAAAGGACTGAGGGGCAGATCCCATCCATCTACTCCTACCGAGGCACCCACAGATCTTGTACTACCTTGGTAAGTGTCTATTGGGAGAAAGAGCATGGGTCATACTAGAGGGAAGCTGAAAGGAGAGCTGGAGGGGAGGTGGCTCAGAACCACAGAGTCTAGAGGCCATTCTTACAGGGTGGTACGGAATGATAGGTAGAGAAAAGGGCATTCTGATACCCATAGGAGGCATGAGCAGTCAGAGTCCATTTGATGTTGAGCTCTGCAGAGAACAAGCATCGTTTTAGTGGAGCTGGTCTCTGAGTAGCACTGAAGAGAGTACAACTTCAACTTTAGAGAATTTATGGACTCTGAAACACAGCTCGGGCCCAACATTCAAAGGAAGAGATGGATGCAGAAGAGGATACCAGGTTCTCTCTGCAGTGATATCCATTTTCCCTGAAATGATGCTTTAAATGGGCAATGTCAGAGTCTGTGATTCAGAACCCTCTCATCGGACCCATCTTAGCTTGTCCTTCACTGCTAGACACTGCATATCAGTTTTTACCTGGCTTGTGTGGGTTTCTGAAGCTCTGAAGAAACAGTGATGAGCATGTGACCTCTCATGTGAGCATACTACAATGGAAACTCCTATAAATAGTGTTTCTATGGTTATTATGGATGCTAAGGACTCAGGGTAGCCTCAGGGCTCTGGGTCTGACTTGTGTGTGATTCTCCTGCAGCTCCTGAGCATCTACCAGCCGAGATGTCCTGCCAGCAGAGCCAGCAGCAGTGCCAGCCCCCTCCCAAGTGTCCTCCCAAGTGCCAGACACCAAAATGTCCTCCAAAGTGTCCCCCTAAGTGCCCGCCTAAGTGCCCCCCTGTGTCATCCTGCTGCAGCCTGGGCTCTGGTGGCTGTGGCTCCAGCTCTGGTGGCTGCTGTGGCTCTAGCTCCGGAGGCTGCTGCAGCTCTGGGGGTGGTGGCTGCTGCCTGAGCCACCACAAGCCCCGCAGATCTCTTCGTCGCCATCGTCACAGCTCTGGATGCTGTAGCAGTGGTGGCAGCAGTGGCTGCTGTGGCAGCAGTGGTGGCAGCAGTGGCTGCTGTGGCAGTAGCGGTGGCAGCAGTGGCTGCTGTGGTGGCAGCAGTGGTGGCAGCAGTGGCTGCTGTGGTGGCAGCAGCCAGCAGTCTGGTGGCTGCTGCTGACCTGTATCCTAGGACTTCAGACAAGTTGTGGAGAAGGAAGCCAAGTACAGCAGAAGTGTCCTTGCCTGCCACTCTTCCTCCATGTTGTGTCCTATATTCTGGGCTCTCCGACATCCTGTGCAAAATGCTGAGTTACCTGTAAAATGACCAGACTGCAACAATAAAGTCTCCACTTTCAAACCTGACTAAAGCTGTGCTTATTTTTTGGCAGCATCATCCTTCCAAGTCAGTGTTAGCCACTCAGTAGAATTATAGTCCATGTCAGTAACATGGATCAGCCAATTCCCATGCAGTGGGAGCACAATGAGGAACACTGAAAGAGCTCAGGTGCATGTGTTTTCTTTGAAAGCCTGCAGAGAGAGTTGCATAGACCAAGTCTAAGAAGAAAGTGGGAGGCAGACATAGCTAAGGAGATAGCATGGTGGATGGTGGGAAGATTTTACTCACTGATGCTTTCCAAATGGCAGATTTGAAGCAGCCTTCTTGCAGCGCTTAGAAAGAGAAATGTGAGGCACATTCAGCAAACACTTGTGAGAGCCACTCTGGGTCCGTTGTGTGCTCACAGAGCTAGGCCCAGTGTCACAGACTGAAGGGAGAGATCAAGGGCAGGATGAAGAGTGAATATCTTCTCAACAGCTCTGGTACTCGTTGTGTAGCATGTGATCCTGGTTATAATTACTAGAAAGAACTTCTCTAGAGGGAAACCCTGACAGAGCATGGGAGTTTGATATAATTCTAAGGGCAGAGGTGGGAGTTGGGAATGCATAATAAAGAAATGCCTCGAAAGTCTGCTGAAGGCCAATGGATCCTAGAACAATAGTGTTCTGACAATGATGGTAACTGTCTCCATGTACATACTCCTAACACACTTGACTGTTTCATAGTGTTTCACCTCCTTGTTTTGCCTGGAGCCTGCATTGTGAATACTTAGTCCCCAGACAGTGATGGTCAGAAACACATTTGGGGCCAACAGTCTCTGAGACCTGTGACTCTCACCCTAATCATTGTCCGTCAGGGGGTCAGGTGTAGTACCTGGGCATCTGTACTAAAAGCACTAAAGATGAATCATGCCGGGAGCCAACCTAATTAACAGGTAATGAGCCTGAGCCCCATTGTGAAAAACCTCAAGCTTAAATTTCTGCTTCCTCTTCTTAGAGATGTTTCTCAAATGACCACATGCAGTTAGGCCTACAGGCCAGGGATAGCACATCTCCTTGCAACAGTTCCTGCCTGGCTGAGCGTTCCTTTACCGCCACCCTCACTCTGGAAGGCACCTTCCCCCACCACTATAAAAACCCTGCCCTTGTTTGATAAACTTAGAGCTTGTCAGCATTTTTGACTTGCTCTCATTCTTTGTGTCTCCTGTCCTTCCATTTGTCTCCCCCACCCAGGTTCCCTTCGCAGATAAGTGTCACCAGGAAGAGAGATGGAAAAGACTAAAGACTTCCAAAGGACAACATCTGGCCTGGGATCACTAGACCAGGAAAAACAGAGTCATATCTCCCCAGTGGCCAATCAGCTTGACACCTCACATCGTGCAATGACTGTGATTGGTGATAGTGTGATAAGCCTTTGCATTCCTTACTCTCATGTGTGGAGGTGTGTGTTATGTGTTATGTTATATCTCATACATACATATGGAAAGTACTTACTTAAAGATATTGGGAACTGCCTCCCTGAAGAAGCCTGCTTTCTTCCTCACTGAAGGTTTTTAAAGTGTGTATTGACTGCAACAAGGGGCGCTTGTTCTCATTGGCTTCCTCGGTTGGAAAAGACCATGTGTTTTTATAAAGGCATACCTAGGAGCCAATGAGGTAATGTGAAATGTTTGGCAAACTGTTTCAGAGACAATTTTCTCTATGGCTTATACTGATGCTTGTAACATGTATGGAAATGACTGTATAAAGACAGTGGAGCAGGACTGAGTCAGCTCTGTGGGACTTGCACCCTGTTTCAGCTCCAGCGTGATCACCCACCTAGAGCTGGAAGCTGCTGTCTCCACCTCACCCCCTCATCCAACCAGCCAGCCCACCCTTACATCTCAATCTAAATTACCCCAATCTCCTCCCATGGGTAGTCAGCACTGGGGACCGATCTGCAGGTGACTGCAGCTGCTGCCTGAGCCAATGCAAACTAATGGCAGACTGTTGGCCTCCAGCTGCTGTGACTAAAGAGCAGCCAGAAGTTGGAGGCTTTTGCAGAATGGACTTTGCTTCCTTATCCATTTGAGTCGGCTTGAGTGTTTGAGTCATACTTAAGAGTTTAATCTCTGGGTAAGGCATCTCATATTTTGGGGATTAAAAAATACATTTTTTCAAAACCGTTAAAAACCACATTCCCCTTGCTGTAGTTCTCTCTGGGAACCCTAAAATACAGCTGTGCCGAACTCTGTCCTGTTTTACTGCGGACACTGAAGTGATGTGGGGACAGCTGCCCAAGTGCCCATTGGGCAGTTCAGTTTTCCTGCTTATATTGGCATTGTCTAGTTCCTGTCTCATGCTGTTGGCACTGCGGTTTCAGGAGATAGAAGATCAAGTCAAACAGTAGGAGTGCAAATGTGGGTTTCAGTATGTTTGTTTTTTTCCCGCTGATTCTGTGCTTTGCCTTTAAATCTAGGCACTGACTCTGTGAGTTCCAGACCAGACTAGTCTACAGAATTCCAGGAGATACAGTGTTACACAAAGAAATTTGTCTTGAAAAAACAATAAATAAAATAAATCAAGGCACTGAAGTAATACTGAGATATTTTTGCTTTTTAACCTGTAATTCTCTTCACATCTAGATTCTCAGGTACTGACAGGAAATCAGCATTACCTTCCTTTTCCCCACCCTCTGCTACTACCTTAAGACCTTAGATCCTGTCCCTTGGCCTAGCAAATATCCAACTAATCAATTTTCTTACTGAATTTCTGAATATACATACACATATTAAAATGCAAATAAAATTCACACAAAAGGTAAAATTACTAACTTTAACATAACTAAATCTTTTATTTGTGCTTCCATGTGGCTCTTCTTGTGTATATGGCATTTGTATGTGGTGTTTGAATGTGTCCCTATTGGTGAGCACACATGTGTGTGCATGAGTGTGGAGGCCTGAGGTCAAAGTAATTAGAGATGCCACTAAAGCTTACTAAAGAAATGTGTTAATTTATTCACTCAAATCATTATTGAGTTTGATGAATTTCATACCATGTTTGTGTGAATTTATTCTGATATCAGTCAAATGAGATAAAAATACAATAATGAAGAGACATTTAGGATTATTCACTATAAAAAAAAATCCACAAGAGATGAACTGGAATCCACCATACAAAAGCAACACTAATCAAAAAGAAAAAAATTCCAGGTACTTTTTCCTATTACTTATAAAACATCATTGTGTGTGTGTGTGTGTGTGTGTGTGCGCGCACGCCTGTCTGTCTATAACAACAACAATGAAAAAGGAGAAAAGGAGGCCATGAATTTGAAAGAGAGCCAGAAAGGGAATTTTGGAGGCTTGGGAATATGGGAATGATGTAATTAAAATATGAATTCAAAAAAAGAAATAAAAAATTTCTTTTAAACAATGTCAAGAGAACTAGAAGAAAAAAAAAAACACATGCATAATACATCCATGGGCCATACAACATCAGAGAACATTTAAATAGCCAAGGAAGAAGCCATGTCAAATCAACAAAACAGAGAATACTGGCTGTTGATTGGTCTGTAGTGCCAATAAATAAAAAATGCAACACTATGATCAATCAAATAATAAAATTTTAAACAATGTTATTTAAGTAGAAATTGAACCTTCTTTCAGACTGTGAGATCATGGCATCATTGCTTATGACTATTCAAAAGGTTGAAATGAGAATAGAAATGAGAAAAACAAATGAGAAATGACTAATTTCCTTGATGCTAACTTAGAAGCACAGAAAAAAAAGCTTATTATTTCTTGAATTTCTTCTGCTTAGAACTCAGTTGTGTTTTTGCATTCCATGTGATGGAGAAAATTAGTCATTATAATAGAGAGACAGTATGCCACATAGAAATCCCCAGAAAGTAAGCAGTTGATTAGTCAAGATGGTTACACTGACCTGACTGACATGTAAGCCTGCAGAGCTCACAGTCAGAGACAGATTTTCAGCTTTTCCCAAGCAGGATTACATGGGTCAGCTGACAACATAGGTGTGCTTCTGCACAGAGGCCGAAATATGGAGCAGATGGCATCAGGATCTCATCATTCTGGAAGTCAGGAGTTGAGCTGAGCAGAGCTGCCATTGTGGACACCCAGGAATCACTTCCTGACCTCTCCCAATTACTAAGACCTTTTGAGCAGCCTGAGGAAGAGAACAACATTCTTGTCAGATGAGATAGTAGCAGATCCCTCAAGTCATGTGGCCTCACATACCTCGCCATGCATATTTCAGAGGTCAGCTCCCTGGAGAGTGATCTATATCATAAGCAATAGCTATTTATAAATAAAAATATCATAGATAGCCTTGGCAAGGAAATTTAAGATTATAAAGTATTCAATGTGCTAAATGGGTACTAGTCAAGAAATACAAAACCCAGGCCAGGTTTTCAAGAAGTTTATTATAGCTTCATGTCAGTGATATGGCACATGAATGACTCTTAAAATTCAGTGTAATGATCCATATACAAAAGGCATATAGGACATTAGATAGACAAGACCAGGTAAGAGATTCACCACCTTTATTAAAAGTAAAACACTAACTACAAAAATTGAAGACAGTATATGGAAAGACAGCTACTATGCAACCAGGAAATGATGAGCACTTATTATGTAGTTCTTTCTCTCTCTCTCTCTCTATATATATATATATGTATATATGTGTGTGTGTGTGTGTGTGTGTGTGTGTGTATAGATAGATATATAAGTGTTATATTGTATAGGAATATATATATATATATATATATATATATATATCAATAAATTTAATGTAGCATATAAATGGACTCTAGGACAGAAATCACCTGATCATTTCAATAGTCACAGAAAAAGCTTTTGAGAATCTAACATTCATTAACTATAAAAGGCCCGAAGAGCCTCGGAATAGAGGAAATTTATCTCAACATAATAAAGGGATTATATGACAAACTTGTATCCCAAATTATACTAAATGGAGAAAACCTTAAAGCATGTACACTAAATGCAAACACATAACAACCTCCAATTAGTCTTCCGTGACTCAATATAGTGTTTGAACTATTAGCTATAATAATAATATAAGAGAAAGAAAGGGAATATGATAAAATATACATCAAAGCTCCTTCATTTACCGATGACATGACTCTATTCATGGGAGACCCTAAAATGTCCACCAGAAACCCCTTAGAATTGAAAAATACTTTATAGAATGTGACCTGTTACAAAATTAACATTAACAAACCAGTAGCTTTCATGTATAGCAATAATATATCATATTGAGTTGAGGAAAAAAAAAAAAAAAAACACCGAAAAAGTCCCATTCACAGTTCCTTAGAAAGTATTTTGGAATATGTAGTCAATGAAGTGAAAGATTTCCACAATGAAACTTTAAAAAGACTGAATAAAGAAACTGAAGAATACACTAGAAGATACAATGGCCTTTTATCTCATGGATTAAAGAATTAATATTAAATAGTAATATTTAATATTACTATTTAATTTACTATTAATATTAATATTTAATATTAATAATTAATAATTAATATTAAATTAATAATTAAATTAATTAATTAAAATAGTTAAATTAATTAAAATAATTAAATTAATATTAAATTAATAATTAATATTAAATTACTATTTAATATTACTATTTAGTAAATAGTAAAACTTATTTACTAAAAACAATCAGCAGGTTCAATACAATCTCCAACAAAATTTAAATGCCAGTCTTCACTTAAAAAGAATCTTAAAATTAATTTTCAAATACAAAAAAAACACAGATAGTCCAAAACAATTGCAGCACAAAAATTAATGATCAAATTACGAAGTATGTTGATATTTCAAGTTAAACTACAGGGTCATAGTAACAAAAACATCAAAGTACTGACAAAAATGAAGACATGTAGATTAGTGGAATGGAACAGAGGGACAAATACAAAGTCATATAGCCAGAATCACCTGATTTTTACAAAGATGCTAAAATGCACGATTGAGAAAAGTCCATCTCTTCTGAAAAACTTGTATCATCACATGCAAAGATTTAACTAGGCGCCTATCTCTCACCCTGCATAAAAATCAACTCCAGGTGGATCAGACTCCTGAAAACATAGGGGAAATACTTAAAATATTGGCAAAGGCAAGGACTTTCTCAATGGGACTCAGTTGCACAAGAAATAAAGCTAATATTGGACAAACTAGACTTTATGAGCTTAAAAAGATTCTATACTAAAAAGGAAACAGTTAAATGAAAAGACAGTTCACAAAATGGGTTAAAATCTTTGCTAACTATATATTTGATGAAGGATTAATACCTTTGATGTACAAAGAACTCAAGAAGCTAAACTAAAACTACTCAATCAATAAATGAGCTAATGAAATTCAGAGACATTTCTCAGAAAATTAAAAATAAATGTCTGCTAAACATTTGAAAAATTCAAATTTGATAGTCATAAGATAAATGCAAATCCAAATAGAAACTACACTGTGATTCCATCTTACCCCAGTGATAATTCATGAAGTTATAAAAAATGGGCTTGTTATGACCAGGTATATATTTCTGAATATGTACTCAAAGAACTTCAAGTCAGCATAGCACAAATGCTGTAAATCACTGTCATAGGTTCTTCTCCATAGATAAATTATATGTATATAATATACATATTGTTATATATGGTGTTTTATATTTAATAGAGGAATGAGTTAAGAAAATGTGGTATACATTGGAATTTTTCACATTGAAGAAGAAAGTAATGTCATTTCCAGAGAAATAGAAATAACTTGATTCTAGGTGAATTAAGCCAGTTGAAGAAAGACAAATATCCATATTCTTTCATATTTTCCTTCTTAAATTTTATATAGACAAATAAAACTGTATTATGTACACTTGACATGAAATTCAAAGTGAAACTCTATAGGAACAAATGAGACTGATGATAATGGTAACAGTGAAACAAAGAGGAAAGACTATGCTCAACATAAAATTTGTCTAATGGGCAGGTAGGAGGAGGATAGATATGAAACTGCAGATTTTAGAGTGTTAATTTTTGGAGTGTTAATCATTTCAGAACGAGCATTGAAGTGATCAGTTGAGCAATGAGATACTCTTATGGATCCTTCAGGTATGTAAAGTTAATGTTGACAGGAATCCACTTCCTCATCTCATGTCTAAATCATATTCCAAGCTGGATGCAGCATCCATGAGTCCCACTGAGGAAAGCTGAAGAGGAACATCTATGTGGTCATCACCAGTCACAGGACCACATGGTGTCAGGGGGCAGGGCCTCCAATGCTCAACCACTGTCTCACAGGCTAGGGCAGAGCCAAAGATCAGAATAAAAGGCTGAGGGACAGAGCATCTGCATTCATTCACCTCCTGAGGTGCCCACAGACCTTGTGCTACCTGTCATCTTGGTAAGTGTCCACTGGAGACCCTGTATATACAGCAGGAAGCTAAGAGGGGAGCTGAGGAGTAGGAGTGGGATGGGCAAGACCATGGAGCTCAGAGACATACTGGAAGAGCAGAGAGTATAGAAAAAATTAACGTTGGGTAGCAGTGGTAAAGGATTCTAAGACTCATGGGAATTATTAGAAGTAACTGGGTAGCTCTGACTTCTGAATCTGGAGAGGATCATATGTCCTCCAGTGGAGCTCTCCAACAGGACAGGAAGGGGAGAGCTGTGGACCTTCATAGGCTTTGCCATGGGAACTCCCCTCTGCTGACACAGCACTGAGACAGCCTGCAAAGAAAGACTAACAGTGAGGATAGGGCACCAAGCAATCTTTGGGTTTGGAAAACATGTAGAGCTGTGGATCTGGAATTTTTTCACATGCTTCTCAGAATTTTTAACATACAACAACACAAGACTTGTCATGTCAACCAGTTCATATGAGGTGTTGAGATGAGTTCAAAAATTTCTTGAAAGGAGGGCCCAGACCTGGTTCATGTCTGCAGGAATGGATAAGTTAGAATTTTCATTAAAGGAAGTAAGATCACTGATCAATAATCACCAGTTTCTTTTCTGACACCATTATAATCATCAGCTTGGGATGCTTAGGGAATTGCGGAAATCCCATAAGAATCTCCATATGGCATACACTAGTAGTAGATGAAGACCAATGTTATTGCAAAAGATGTCAGTCAGAGAAATATAAGAGGAGGAAGTTATTCTGAATATGCCTTCAGACTGTGAAATATCTCAAATTAAGGGTTACAGGAAAATGAGTTTTTAAAAAGAACAAGCACCTCTTTTCTCTTGTCAAAACTTGCAAGATAATTGCCCTCTGTGGGCCAGGACTGAAAGGGCCTTGGGGTTTGTTAGAAATAAAACTACTGATTATGGAGTTTCTGTGAATAACAGTGATATTTAGAGGTGGATAGGATGCCCCAGGATCCTGGATCTGACTTGTGTGTGACATTTCCACAGCTCCTGAGCACTCACCAGCCAAGATGTCCATGAAGCAGAACTAGCAAAAAAACAAAACA